TATTACAGCTGAACGAATCTGAACGATTCTCGTTCAAATTAAGACATATCCTAAGGGCCATAAAAACGAAACGATTTCTTGTACCTCATTTTTCTGCCCCCAGTCAGAAATTATATTAATTATTCACTCTGCAGTTCACCGTTGACAAGCATTCGCTATCTTCCAAAAAATTCAGCACACTGAATTTCGCTGCAGTCACGCTATCGATACATTTCACTATATCGAGAATATCGATATTCCCCGATATCGTTTTCCTATATATGTTTTACGCTTCTAGAAATAAACATACATACGTATTTACATGCGAGCGATATTTCACCTTTGGTACAGCTTTCGCGTCCATCCATATATCATCCAATTTTCTGCCTTTTTCTTCTTTTTTCATTTTTCCTTTTTCATTTCCATCCCTACACTGTGATAAGCTATCAGTTAAAAATCGCGAATAAACAATATAACAGCTGTTAGTTGGCAATTAACGTTGTATGCATATATGCATCAGTTATTGGGCAGGGCTGGATAAAATATTATTTTTAATAATGAAGAATGAACAATCTATTTTAAATTGCGTGCTTACTGAAATTATGCTTTTAAAATGGTATTTTATTCGTCCTGAAATCTGTTTAAGAAGGCTTGCTAATATTATGGTATGGTATGAAAGTTCAATACCGAATGATAAGTATGTAACAAATTAAAAATCTTTAAATATGTACATACATTTTAATATCATCTGTTCTTTTGTTCCAACTTTTTAATATGGAAGTAAAGTAATTATTTTAAACATCCCAGATTATTTGCACGATACTTTAATATGAATTAAGCATTCGAACAGTTAATTTATTTCTCAATATTTTCTAATGTTTTATTGGATGTTATTAATACATTATTAACATGTTAGGACTGTGATTAATACAACGTTTATGAGCAAAGAGTAGCACGTATTCTGTCATCGATAAGTCTGTTGATATATAGATCTATCTCTAATATTTAAATCGAAGAACCTCCTAAAATACAATGAAAAGATTGCGACGCTTGGAGTAAAGAAGAAATTGATCCCAAGAAACTGATCTTTACAATTGAATCATCTCCCGATTTACTTTCGCGACAAATAAAAAGTTCAAATATCTATTGAAAATTGAAAGATTGAAATCAGATCACTAAAGTAGAAATATCTTATCTCCTTTATTTAAACCATACAGAATCTAATATTTCCCTGTAAATGTTTCCCTTCGCTCTGCTCGCCATCGGGATAACGGGGGGAAAAAAGAATAGAAGATCGGACAGACGCAACATGTCTGACATTGGACGCATTAACAAAAATCCATAGACAGCTGAAACCAATACGTTCGGAATAGGAGAACCATGAAATAAATTGTCGAGTTTAGCTCTGTGTCTCGATCTATTAAAAAAAAAAAAAGAAAAAATAGAAAAAAACAGCAAGTCCTCGAGCTCGAAAGAAAGTGACGGAATCACGATTCACAGATATCAATGAGGAAACCTTTAGCCAAACGCCGGGAACCGATAAAACTTCGACAAAAACGATCGCCACGTGAACTCCGGCCAGTGCGCGAGCAGAGAATCCACGGGAACTTTTAGCAAAGTATTTTTACCGCCGAAAGAAGATAGACGCTGTCGGTTGTTGAACGATGAAATGAAGTTTTGTACTTTGGACATTGTACGTCACAATTACGGCAAATGAGAATAAATATGGCAAGTATAACACCTTGTGCGTGCACCATATTCCGTGAGGTTACCAACGAGATCGACAAGTTTCCACAAACTTGCCACAAAAGTTTGCTTTGAGACAGCGATCCAAACGAAGGTTATTCTAAAGGCTTTCATCAAAACGTTTCTTCCTTTTTCCCTGTTTCAAGAATATCTTTTTAACTTTTGTTGCAACACTTTTGGCTTCAGTGTAGTTTTACGATGTTACATTTTGCATTTGATTGTTAAAAATCCCGGTGGATCATTAGTTTCAAGGTTAAACATTATAGTTCTTTTTTCATTTTTAGCATTACTGAAAGCGGGATATAACATAGAAAAATTGTAATTTTTATGCAATTTATGCAGTACCCAAGTAACGAATCGTCAATTTTAGAAAAAGCATTATTTCCCGAGCTTTCCCATCCCTCTTCTGCACAAACATTTGTATACAAATGAAACTTGAACGGTTCCCGGTTTTAATTTCATTCAGGTTCATGTACCCGATATAATATTTTCTCTTTCCAAGAAATCTGTTTGCAACAACTTCAATTTATTCAGAGCAGAATAAATATTCCCGTTTAATCGGAATCTTCTTCCTACCGCCTGAGAAAATAAAAGTTCCCCATTTGTGCAAGAAAGTATAAAAGTCTCAGTGAATAGATCATACTTTATAACAATTCTTTTGAAACAAGAAAGATAATAGTAAAAATATTGTGTCATAATGTTTTAATTAGGAATTTTCAACACTTTCGTTCGATCTCTGTTTAAAAATGAAAGAAACTAGTCCTCTTCAGAAGTAGAATATAGTAATTATAAATGGTAAATATATTCACTAACTTACATTTAAAATTTCTAAGTATGTAGAAGGCATAATTGGCGAGGAACAATTGTCGACAATTTAAACTGACGTAACTTTATAAAAGGATCATATGACGATTAATTTCCTGTTTTCTTCTTATTTTAAAGCGTGAAGCTTCTTCTTTGACAATTCTGAATTTATTCTTTGTTTAAAGATGCTTTCACATCATATAGCTGGTGGAAATCTTCCAAGTTAAATGAAAAAAAAAAGAAAAAATCATACATCGAATTTTGATAAGTCGTTTTAAAGGGAAAATTCCAATTATCGAAACCATAGCAGATTTAGCCATGAAACAAAATTTTGAATGTTCTTACATGCGTTTGAATTTTTCTCGAGTAAAGAAGCATCTCCACTAAAGTCATCTTCAAAAAACAAAAAAAAAAAAAAAAACAAATTTACGATTCTCAAAATGTTACATCAATTTCAATTATCGACAATTTTTCACTGTCATTGGCACAGTTACGCTCTTCGCTGTGTACGTAGATTTCTGTGACCGAGCGCATATGCACGATACACGTTGACGTAAAATTATAATCGATACGGCGAATTCATCGAAAACACGACAAAGGAGAGGAACCCGGGTGCCAAAGCAATAACGCTAAATGGCATTATTGTTAAATCTTTAAACTTATCAAATCATCTTTGTATCGCAAATTACAACGTTGTTTTCGTGATAGTTGAAACCCATGGAAATCACATTCGCGTAATATCCGAAGAACGTGCCCGTCGCGTTATTAAATATCCATGAATACCGTTATTTGTTCCCTTTGAGTTTAATTAAACCGACGACGATAATATAACTGGCCGCAAAGTTTCCGAAATGATAACGACCCGAAATTCTTCGCGGTAATTTAGCCGTGAATATATCGCGCCTCGCGAGCCATAAAAGAAGGGCAGATAAAGTTGGTGTTAAATTAATACTGTCCTCTAATGAGGGTGAAAACCGGTATCTCGAAAGTTCGTTGCGTAAAAGGTTAATTACTTAGGCGATTAAGCGTGCCAGACAATAAGCTGGCCGGGTTAAACAGGCAGATTGATCGATCTGGCCTTTCTCACTTCATCCGCCCGGGTGTTTCAAAAGTGTAAGACCATCGGCAAATATTTGCGCTGTTTTAAACGATTCTAATTTCCTCCACCGCGTAGGCGACGAATTTTTCCTGCAACGGCGTTTACTTTAATTAGATGATTTCCATCGAAAGGCAAATTCCTTGTAATTAACGCATTTGTCTAAAGGTAATTCGACCCTCTGTTCACTGAAATTACCGAAAGCTTAATACCACGTAAAGATTATACAAGCGTACACCTTTTGATACATTTATTCTTGAATCCTGCTTGAATCTCGATTAAAATATTTTAGATACTTGATATTTAAGATATTATAAATACCGAAATGCTTCAGATCCGTGATATTCTAGTATTAAACGGATTAAACACTCAAGATTTCAGAACATGCGGGCGTAATTTCACCGGTGACTTCAACTCGATCAAATAAAAGAGAAAAGAAATTTCTGTCTTCCGATAATTCTTTTGATAAACTCAGCCGTTCAATTTAATTGTTTTAATAACGTTTGATACAGACACTCTACTACTGTGTAAAAATATCCATGTCATGTTTTTTAGGTTAGTCGAGTAGCATGAATCATCAATAAATGTAATAACTCCTTGAATGTTTGGTCCATATTGGAGTATCATAGATAACCTGTGATATTTAAAAGAATTAGTTTACTTACGCATTAGAGATTCAAAGACAACAGCATATTAAAATATACTGAATAAATATGTCAGACACTGGAACTACCGATGATTAAAGCATCAAATTTCCATCAGAGACACTGAAAAAGAAAAGAAAATAGAGAACTTTATAATACAATAGTGCACAAGCTTATATTTATACACTTTATGAGAAATCATTTAAATCTCTAAAAATAGTGTTCTATGTCTATAAAACGAGTAATAAAAATTATTAATTAATTGATCATTTTGACTGTTTTGGCAATTCTAGTGTTAAAGATGAACGCATCTCTGATTTGGTTACATGTTTCCAATTGATATTAAATTTTTATATGATAATTTTAGTTGAGCACTCAAGTGCTTAATAGAGCCTTGAGTTTATACTTTATAATATTAATAATAATGGTAGATTGTGCAAATATAGAAATGGCAAGCACGCATTTAATATGCGTCATATTGACAAATAGTTTTTCTACTAAATAGAAAAAGAACTTGTATTGAATAATACGTACAAAAACAGGCTGTATCTTGGAAATGGTCATGTTAAGCGTACGAGATCTTATATAATACTTATAATACTTGAATATAAACTGTTATATAAACAATAATTATTATATATAATTATTTAATAATAATATATAGTTATGTTTTTTTTAAATTTGTCTAGGAATTGATACAAAACAGCTGTTTCAATTCACGACGGAACTATGGATTTACCGCCTGATTTAAGGTATTTACGTATTTAAAAAAGAAAAAAAAGAAAAAAGAAAGAAGGTAAAAGTTCTTCTTCGATCGGATGATCTGATTAATCAGAGTTAAACGCGGCGATTAAATCGATCGCCGAGCAAGAAGAGGAACGAAATTGAGTAGATGTCGCGTAATAAATTGGAACGTTTCACCTTCACTCCCCGGTTAAGGGACATTAGGGTCACGAAAGATTCAGCGGCCACCGATTCCACGAACGAGGATAAAGCGGGGACCTCTTGCTGCAAATTGACTCCTTTGATCAGTCTGGAAAAGAAGGAGAGCCCGGTGAATCCGTACAATCGCGTGGACTGGACGAAAATGAACTCGAAATGGCCACTTCCGGACACGAACGACAATGAGATCAGCGGTGTTAACAGCCTGCCGCAGCTTGACTGCGGCACGTTCTCCGGATCGTTCGTGGACACGAGTTCCTGCTGCCCCCGGGAGATCTTTGACAAGCACGATACCGACGCCGTCAACAACCACAGGAGTATCGTGCTCAAGGACGACGAGTGCTGCAAAACTCACTGGGCCAGGAGCGAACGTTATCAGAAAATTAAAGCGAAAGTCGCCAGGGCCATCAAGGTAGCTGAAATGAAATTTAAATAGAAATAAATTGGATTGGCTCGTTGCGCGGATTAGTTGGATATTTGTATCTGTTATTCGAATACTTGTCATAAAATATGCATGCGTGTATGTTGTTATTACGTGTGTTGTATGAAGCACTTTGAAATTCCATCGATACTATAACGAGGCACGATTATATTAAAATTTGAAACCAATCTCGAAATGTATACAGGGCGGCCCATTTCAATTAATGAATGCAATTATCCTCGTTAACTGTTCGTTATGCGAAAAATGTTTCGAAATGAAATTTTTTTTCGGAGTGGTAATTATAATTATTCAGCGTAGTTGGTTTATTTCTATTATAGATGGACGCGTGAAAGAGAAATGCACATCGATATTTTTTTTCTTTTTTTATGCAATATTATCTGTAGAATAAGATAATTGCAATTGTATATTAAAGTACTCTGTATACATATCGTAAGGCGTCCATTGCAAAGATATACTTTTGGTAAGATTGATACGTAACATGAATAGCAATTTTAAACATATAATAAATAATCCCACTGAATGTTAACTGTGAGGTTTATTAATATATAATGGACAATTGAATATTTCTGATAAATACACGTGTGTATTAAATATTTCATAATTCCCCACATATTTCTAGATTTGTTTGTAAACTTAGCAATAACTGTGACTAATTTTAACATGGTTTTCATCACACACATAATACATCCTTATAATAAAAATAATAATAATAATAATAGTAATAATTCGTGAATAATTGTAGCTTTTAGAAGGATATAGTGACTTTAAGATATTTTAAAGCACGTGCTACCGTCTTTCAGAGACACAAAATATTTTTGATACGCGGCGAGTTACCGAAATTGAAAGAAGCTCTGGAGAAAAGGGGCTGGGTACAGAAACACGAAGCTACAAAAACGAGGGCCCTACCTTACGGTTAGTTTTCTTGTCTTTCTTAATTAAATCTTTTTCTTTACATTCTACTCTCGTTAATTAAAAATTGACCGCATAAACTCTGATGAGATGTCTAAATAAAAGAGGCAGCTGTCTCGCTCGCTACCTTGCGTTTTCTCATCTTCGTCCTTTTTTTCCCCATATTTCTCTACCGTGAGTGACATCGTGAAAATTTAATTCTCGGATGTTTGTACATTCGTGAAAGATACAAAGATACTGAAATATATATATATATATACATACACAAAATGTAAAATAAATATAATTCATGTTCATTCTTAATATTCATACTTAAATAATAATATTAATATATTTTTAAAATCGTGTGCAATAATAATGAATAAAAATATTGCAAATAAGTAGCATAGCAATAAGTTTATTACACAACATTCGTTGGATGAAACAAATTTCTGACTAAATCTTACTTCTTTAATTTCGTCGATAAAAATACGAAATCTATCATTGAATTTTCAGGCAGCATAGCCAGCTTAGAATCAAGATCACTGGGCGATTTGACCCACCCGGACGGCAGTTTGAACGAGAAAGCTGTAATTTTCGCCATGCTACGCCACAAACCGCCAGACTTTATATGGGACTGTCGAAACGACTTTGTCGATTGGCATCGCGGCCTCAGTAACAACACGATTCTCAACAGATATCAAAAACCTTCCGTCTACACCTCCAAGGTTAATCACCATCCTTTTATTTTATCCGATTCCCCTGTTTTCGTGTGAGACGACAATATCGCGCGATAATTTTCGACATGACGCGTGCCACTCAAGATACAGACTACATTTATATAATTATCAACCTCGTCAAGGGCCAAGCAACAATTTAAATTTCTCGAGTTTCTTCACAGAACATCATGAGAGTATATAGAAGAGAAATGACGAGGGGGAAATATTAAACGAATTTTTGGAATTTCGTCTCGCGTTTAAAAATAGAACCGATTGAAAAGAATTGCAAATGAAATGATAAGGTTCAAGCGGAACGATTATGATTAGAAGCGTGACGATTTACATCACAACGTTGGAAATATTTAAATTTTTCTACAACTGTAGATTAAAATTCGCTTCATTCCGCAACATTGCCAATATCTGCGACATAAATTATTGATGAGACAAAACACATGTTTGAGCTCAAAAGTATAATTGTTTCAAGGAGTACATAATTCAGAGTAAGCACGTACGAAGGTCAAATTATGTTATTCCTCGTCATGAGGAAATGGTCGCTATTAAGTTATAATGTCAAATACATCGTATTCACGTACTACATGCCATTTTATTATATCGCGTCAAATATAATTATTACATCACGCTACATTACGTTGACTAAATTAAATTACACGTATATTAAATTCGAGTTGTGCTCGTCATCGAAACGCGGATACGGAATTCAAATTCTAGTAAACTCCAACTGGAACCTCATCGATCAAACTTGACAAAAATGCTTACGACGACGTATAATGTAGCTAGGAATGGCTCGTTTGTTGGAAGAAGCCCACTGGATGTACGAGGAAGATGTGTCGTCGGTGCTGTTCCCACGGAGTTACAATCTGAGCAGAGAACCGAAAGCTTTCCTCGACGACTTTCGCTTGACCGCCGCCGCCGGTTTGTTGAAATGGTTCGTCGAAAGAATGCAAGACGACCAGAGTCCCCCGGAGACTGGTCACCGTCCGATTCCAATGAGTCGGCTGGAATTCGCGATGAAACGCTGCGAAGAATTGATCGCCCATGAAAACCACCAGAACATAGACAAAGACTTTGTCACCGAGTTCGAGGAGGAGGAATGGAACTCGTTTTTGGACGATTATGCCGCGGCTGTGCACGAGGGCGCTGGAATCGAGGCCACGTCGGAGAGAAGTCGAGAACAGTTGCAAGTATGACACTCGTGTACTTTTATCAGTTTATGTTGTTTATTGAGTATTATAAAATAATAAATAATACAGTTAGACGTGGAGAGCTCAGTCAGTCAGTGTGTGTCATTTTTTATTAAAAGTGACTTGTGCTATATATATATACATATTTTTTTTTTAATCAAACTCATGCAACAGTTTAATTGTGATATTAGTATTTAATTTAATTTTATTGCAACGACTGAAATTCTTAAAATCGACTGTTGACAAATTTGACAGTAACATTTGCATGACAGTTGTTTCTAATGAAGATGACTTACACTGATTGGTTTTTGAATCCTTCGTATGTTATTATCTTGTAGTGTATTCGTTCATTAAAAACACAAATGTCTAAGAAAGAGCATACGCAATATTCTCAAAAGTGATGCAAGAAATAAACGAGACAGTTATTTATGAAATAAATGAGGGAGCAATTTGAACATCAGGCTACAATTTCGCAGGATTTTTAGAAACTTACAATTAAGGCTAATTCATCGTCACGTGTTCTTCTGATGGCGAAATTTTCATTAAAAGACTCGAAAGATTGACTTGGATAATTATACAATTTCAAGAAGCCGCGGAAAGTAATTTATTTATTAGAATAAATTTTCTTTAGTTTTAACGATCTCTAGTGCGCAGAATGTTATATTTAAAACAGGTTTTCTTGGAAGTCCTCATTTTTCAGTCGTTAATTTTTACGCTGCTTTATAATGTTATAAATAACAGGAAAACGAGAATTTTAAAAATCTACTTTACATCGTCATATTGATCCGCGAATAATCATTGAATTATTCAAGATAAATACAATAATTTGTGTTAGATTATTCATTATTTTATCATTTTCTTTATATCCTCTCCGACAGAAATTAGTAATAAAATTAGACCATGCTAAAAATTCCCGAATTTCTCAATGGATAAAGAACTAAAAATAAGGGAAATGTAGTCTAAATTACTTTTCACGAAGCTTCTCGAAATTATGTAAGTTAATAAAGTTAATAAAACATTATTTCTCACTTACTTACTATGTTATTACTTCTTGAAATTATTATCAAGTCGTTATTATTTTTTTGAAGTTATCCAAGCTCAAGTAATTACCATTATTTTGCTTCATGTTAAATTAACAAAGTCAATCATTAATTATTCTTGCTCCATCATTGAAGAAACGTGTCGCGATAAATTAGCATTATTTTCAAGAATAACTAATATGCTCGTTCTTAATCAGTCGTGTTTTCCAATGAACGAGTAACACGATTAGGCAAATAAATCCTTGCTTTTAAATTCAAATTCTTCCCCTGACGCGAATGCGTCGAATTTTAAATCTCGCCCGCCGTCGGCATTCGATTACGTTATTTAGAAGTATCTGGAGCTGACGAATCCGATATTGGCGAAATTGAAAGAGATTGATCCGCAATACGAGCTGAACGGAATGAGAAACATATGGATCTTGAAGCCGAGCGAACTTTGCTGCGGTACGGGCATCAGTATATCGCACAATTTGAAGGACATATTCCGAAAGATAAAAAGCAAGCCAAAGGATTACTTCATTGTCCAGAAGTACATTGGTACGTGAATAAATTTATTTATTGAAATTCCCATTTCTTTTAACCCGTTCTTTCATGCGTTTCGTCAATTCTCAGAACGCCCGCTGTTGATTCAGGACACGAAATTTGACATAAGGCAGTGGTATTTGGTTACGAACACATTCCCCATGACGATATGGGTGTTCAAGTAAACACATGAACTCTTTAAACTTTGTAGCTTACGTTGTACGTACGCCTCACCGTTTTTTGCGAAAAATTCGGAAAATACGAAGTCTGATTTCTCGTTAATTTTTTTCTTCTTTTTTTTTTTTTTTGTCTCTTGCTGAAAACGCAGAAAATTCTTCACGAGAGATTCTTCCTTTAATAAAAATTTTTCAGTTCTCCCCGATTCGTTTCAACTCATTCATTTTCGTCCATTTAGTTTCCTTTTGCTTCACTTCGTTTCCGTCCATTTAGTTTTCTTTTAGTTTAGTTTAGCTTCACTTCAATTTTTCATTCTTTTCATTAGTTTGTTTCCAATCGATCGCAACTCGTTGTCGCCAGATCCATTAATCAATCAAGAAAATTTAAAAAGGACATTACTTGAAATTTAATAGATTCCATATTTGATAGAATTCATGGCAAAGTAACGGAAATAATATACATACTATGTAAAAATCCGTTTTTACGTTACACTTGTAGTATTTCTACGTATTACATCATACGTAAATATAGATTACAGATTTCACATTAAACTTAATTTTTTTATAACAAACGATAGTTTAATAAAACGTACGTTCATTTGTATGTAACAATTTAATTTTATATGCACGATAATTTAACTCTTTCTTTTTTTTTTTTTTTCGTAACAAACGATAGTTTAATAAAACGTACGTTCATTTTACTCTGTCGTTGCGTACCCGCAAGAAGAGATTTAAGAAAAGTGATTTCTTGCCGAAGAAAAGCGGCACCAAAAATTTCCCGAGAAGAATCTTCTCGATGGAGATTCCATCAAAGAATTTCCCCGATCCTTTTCCATCCTCTCTCCTTTTTCTTCTCTCTCTCCCTCTCTCTCTTTCTTTCTCTCTACCCAGGGAAGGACTCCTCCGATTCAGCTCGAAACCCTACACTTTCTCAACTTATCACGAAGCGATTCATATCTGCAATACCGCCATTCAGGAGAAGTACGACGCGGAGAGGCGGCGACGGAGGAAACGCGGAGATTCAGAGGAAGTTGTAAAATCGATTCGCGATCAAGAATGGGACTGCGAGAAGCTGAACGAATATTTAAAGTAATCTCCTCTCTCTCTCTCGGCCGGCCTGTACGTTGCGCGAGAAGTTTCGGTTATCCGTTCGTTACGCTCGATAGCGTCGCGATGATTCCGCGATTGATAAGGTTTGATCAAGTATTCCTCAAATATGCTTGGAATCTTCTCTCCTTGCCCGTCATCTTGCTCTCGTTCGGCGAGGATTTTTATTTTATTACACATTTTTCTTTTTCCGCGTTTGCCAAAAAAAAAAAAAAAATAGCAGAATCAATTGGCAGAGTCTCCAAACTAATACCAAGTTTCACGAGTTTTTAACTATCGGAATATTTTTAAATATTTAAAATATTTTCAACAGTGGAATTTCGAAATATTTCCATTCCGCGCGTTTGCATTTTTACAACTTTTGCACGCACTTTTAGGCGTAGAATAGATTTTCGAAAAGGGAACGAACTGACGAGCGTCAAAGCACAGAGCGTCGACGCTTTGAAACTGAGATCAGGTTTAAATCATGGACAGTGTCCTCGACAACTTGCTCTTAGAAATGTCCGATACATTTATCAATTTTCGTCGACGGAGAGACTCGAGTTGCATACTTGATTTAATTGGCGGCTATACAGAGATTTAATTGCCAGGCAAACGGGGCACTGCGGCGAGCCGTATTACGACAACATCTATCCGAAAATGTCGGAGGCCATAGTCCTGACGATGCTGGCCTCCCAGGAACACATGGACAGGCGACGGTGTAGCTTCGAGCTGTACGGCGCCGATTTCGTCGTGATGGAGGATCTTTCGGTCTGGTTGATCGAGATCAACACGAATCCTCGGATGTACCCGCCCAGCTCGAGAATTACCAAACGCCTCTATTCCAATGTTCTCGAAAGCTTGGTGAAAGGTTAGCAAACTATGATCTATCTATAGGACGTCGTTACACAGAGAGAGGGAGAGAGAGAAAGGGGGATAAGTTGTCAGAAACCGAGACTGCGGGCGAAAGTTTTCGAGGATAGTGGCCGGGACAAGTCAACGAGGCGGTATATTCCGGTTTCCTCGCGGATAGACTCGACCGAGCTTTTCGAATCGTTTAGTATCGACTACTACGCAAGTTGCCGGATTTCGATTAAACAACTTTGCTTACCAAGGTATACGAATCAAGAGGACAACCCTTTACTCTTTCGGCAACGTTGCTTTCAACGGAGCCACTCTAATTACCCTTATACCCTCGGATCAATTACGCCGAACACATAATTACGCTTTTCATTTGAGAATAGAGCATTTATTTCTTTGAAAATCAATGAAATTGCGACACAAATAGCTGGAGGCTACTCTACACGTAGAAAGGAGTGAAAAGGACTTTATCACTCGAAACGGAGACCGTAATTATAACCAGAATGAAGAAACACGCAAAATAAAAATTATTTTCTTTTTTTATTAAATTTTTTTTTTTTTTTTTTTTTTTTTTTTTTGCTTACCAAATAACGTTTACAAGTGCCTGATAAATTTTTTTTTCGTTGCCAATTATATTGGCGAGGGAAATTCATTTCGATTGCTCGTAACAAGTTACCAGCGAGGGAAATTTATTCGGTTAATTTCCGCGAAATTTACGTCGCAAAGTGATTTTACGATTTTTAAAATGTTTCAATGTTATAAGCGACTGAAATAAATTTCGTTGTAAGCGACCGAAATGGAATTCCGTTCGCCAATAATGGTTATTGGCAATGAAAAGAAAAAAAGAAAATGTTCAGTCACTTGTAATTTTTATTTGCAACCAAGCTGTTTAATCGCGCAGTTTTTCGAAAAATACTTTGAATCAATGAACACGTCTCCGATTTAAAGTAAACAGTTACCGATCGTTTCCGTAAAAATTTTCGCAACAACTGTAATTTTAGGAAAATATATTCAAACTCTATTTTCTCGATACCGAAACTTCAAATGGCAAAACTTTATTTCACCTTTCCACTTGCTTCTGCTCGCAGAAATAACCTCTTGTTAGTTATTCACTCTTCAATTTGAAATTAACAAAATTCAAGTACACTTGTCAAAATTTCAAGCTCAATTTTCTACAAAACATTAAAATAGTCTTAAATTAAAAAAAAAAAAAAAAACACTATTTTCACTCCAAGATGCATTTTTCTAAAATTATCTTCCCGTTGGTCGCACACCCTATATACATTTACAAAAAAAGAAAAAAAAAAGAAATTCTTTGATTGTACACACGAATCATGAACTCGAAAGGAAAAGAGAAAAAAAAGTAACGAAAGCTTTCGTAGTAGTTTCGGGAATGAAGTTTCTTTCTTTCGTTCGTTACCTTTATTTCTGTTCGACCTCGCTCCCTGCGATCATGTATGTTCTGTTATGCGACACAAAAGTTGCGGAGGACATTCGGCTTCCATTTGAATTCGTGTGAAAGCACGTTTGCAAAAATCACTCGAAAAGCGAGAATCTTCTTAGGCCAGTTAATTCAATACTTGTACTGTAGCAGCTGCTACGCTCTTTCAGTCTCTCGCCGGTTGGATTATGCTCGGGATCTACGTTCGTTTCGAGTCCTGTTGGCACGGAATTCTGTCGGGTAAAAATAAATAAATGAACGTGCTTTCGCGTCAATCCCATAATAACACACGTGTCGAAACGTGTCATATTAATAATGCATTGCAGCAGCTGATTCGAAAGATTCTCGAGGCGGAGAAAAAAACAATGGTACGAAAGTCGATCGCATAGCCTGATTCATATTTTTTTAGATTCAAAGATGGAACTTCGGCGGAATTACTATGCACTATGCTTCGGATATTTTCTACATTTTTTCGTGTTCTTAGTAGTCTGCGTGTAATTTTGCACTTTGAAATTTTCTTCATAAAAATCCGCGAATACTGGGATATTATAGAAAGTATAATTATATCTTAATTTGTACAGACTCTTCGTTCGCATTCTGACGTGATTATCATTTCAATAATATCGTCATTAAGAACTCGACGACCCTTGATCTCTTGGCTAGAATCAAAAGGGTGGTTCATTCGTACCGGAGTTCTCACCTAATCGTGAACATGTAACGAAATTAACAAATTCTGTAGCAATTCATTATTCGCGCAATATCGTTCGTTGAAGGAATATTTAAACAATATATAAAATAATTAGGGAACAATTCCAAATCAAATTGATCCATTGAATCAAGGCACGTCGAATAGGCAGAGCTTACGTTCAACGTAAAAGACTTACCCGATAGGAAGGAGAGAATCTCAATTTCGCCAGAGATCTACGAGTTATTTCCACGGCAAATAAACTAAATAACAATAATAACTTCTTGTACGATACATCATCCTACAAAAATAAAGGATAAGAGAGAAGAAGGAAGAAAAACTTTTTAGGAAAAAAAGAAAGAGCAGCGCGTTACGGCGTTATTAATGCTCACTTTCAATTTGTTCCAGTGATAATGGACGTACCGATGGATCCGAGCGCAGACACCGGCGGCTTCAGCCTCGTGTACAAGCAAAACATAGCCGACTTCCGGCCTTATCTCGGCCCCTGTCTCTTCGTGTTCGGCAAGTCGATAACGCTGCAGGAATATCCGCGAAAACGGGAGCGGAGGAAGAAGGGAGGAAACGGCTGGGTGAAACAGCAACAACAGCAACAACAACAGCAACAACAGCAGCAGCAGCAGACACCGCGCGCGTGGACCGCTCCGCCGATGATTCCACGATTAAGAGAACCGAAAATAGTCGACTTTATCGACTACTTGAACACTGCCCGCTGCACCGCCGCCAACTGATATCCTCGTTCGTTGATCGATTCGTTGCTCCATATTCGATAAATCAAAGCGTAGCGTGTACTCGGTTAGGGACAAAGCGACGCGCGGGCTCGGTTAGGAAGAATTGGCTAGGAAAGTGGCAGTTAAACGTACAAAGGAGCGGTGAAACTCGCAAACGACAGCTCGGCGCGGCGAAGTCGTTAAAAATTGGGACGACCCAGCTTCGTTTCACTTTTTCTTTTCTTTTCCTTTCTTCTTCTTCTTCTTCTTCCTCTTTCGCGGAACGTTCGAAACAGTTCCGACAGACGCACGCGTTCAACCCTCGCGGCAAATTGAAAAAAGAAAGAGGAGGAGTCAGTCGTCCTCCTCGTTAGCAGAAAGTTGACGATCGTCGCGCGTCAGGGTGATTTCCAATAGCACGTAAAGTACTTCGAACGAGTCCACGCGTCTAAGTGTGAGAACTTGAGTCTCGCACACCTTGGTCCTTTTTTTTTTTTTTTTAATTATAAAGGATGATATACCGAGAGGGTGGTGAACCATGTGAAAAAACAAATCGGAGGTGAAGAATGAATTCTTTGTATTTTGTTAAGGTTTCGCTTTTGAAAGTTTACTTGAATTTCAATGATTCTGAACTAGTCGGGGACAAAAAATGGAATTATTCTAGAATATAGACAAAGATGTGGGATTATAATTCTTGCACAAGCCGCTTGAAAGCTGAATTTAAAATCTGATCAATAATTTTCGACACTTTATTAAAAATCGTGACGTGCAACGCGCGTTGAAAATTTCGAGCGATGTTGATTCAATTGACCGAAGGTCGCAGAACACAAGACGTTTTCGTCTCGCTTCGACGTTCACTCTGTTCGAACTACCGGACGCCCAATTAAGAATCATCCTGCATTAGCATTTAGTTTTCAATTTCGTGGCGCACGAAAATGAAAATTCCGTTGGATCTCGGTGTATCCTCGGGTTCCTCTCGCGACTCGAGAATTATTCGAGCTATTGCCACGATCTTGCGTCTGCTGCTGGCCTGTCTAGCTTGCTCGGGATCCCCGTGCACGTACAACTTTTCAGGAAAAGTCAGTTGCACCGAGCTTGTAATTAATGGGCGCTAAAGATAGAAGAAGTAATCAACGCTGTCACCAGCGAGCGGCATCGCTGCGTCGTCCTTTCTTACGTAACTTCCTGCCAGAAATACCAACGGATTCTAGTCGCTTGAACTGAACAGGAGAATCCACTTCTCCCTGGATTCTCGTTTCTTTTTTTTTTTTATCTCTCTTCTTCTTATTGCACGCGCATTAATCCCTTCGCTGTTACAAACAGAGACATCTCGTGTCGCAATTTCGTTCGTGAGACGCTACAGAATAAATATCGTTCAAATGTTTTGGACAAAAGTCGATTCGTGGATATCACTACGAATGAGATACATCGAACTGTTGTAATAAAGAAAAAGAATCATTTCATTTGTAGCGTCACGTGTATGAACGATATTATTCGACGAGATATTTCGTCCGTAGCAGTGAATGAATTCAACGAGAAAATCAACAGAATCTGATATGTCGTATAACGAACTTTTTTTCTTTTGTAAACAAATATTTTATTTGTCCGCAAAATGCAACAAGGATAACTGTTTCAGAAACAAAACATAGTGACGACGTGGTTTCGAGCAGCTACTATGGAAACTTTCCTCGATAAAACGATAAAACTCCCTTGTAAGATTTAATAATTTTTTTTGTTGCAATAAAGTAGGAAATCGGATTGAAACGTGCTTATTGATTATATCGGCTGTCCCGGCTCAATTACGGACAATCGACTTGTACGTCACATATTGGTGGTTCTATGTGTAAAAACCAGTCGACGAGAGAAAGAGTAAAATGTTTTCTGAGAAAATCGATATCGAATATTAAATATACCAGAGTCAAATTAATTTCGATGCTGGACCGAAGTGAATAATACGCAGAGGATTATTTTACGCGGGGAAATAAGTGGGAAATTGTAGAGTACAAGTTTTTCATAAAACGTCTCGTTCTCGAGAAGATTCAATTTGAAAGTTTATCGAGCGCGAGTGCGCCATGCCAACGATATATATATATATATATATTAATATATCCAAAGTCGAAATGAAGTCTCACACGGAAAAAATTTATTCTTTCAATTAATTTTTAACACGTAGAATGTCCAATATGGAATTACTTAAATTCGAATCTCTGGCGAACGAGGGCGAAGTCAGAATTGTTAGTTTTGCTGGGAAGCATTTTTAATATTTAAATTCAAAGTGAGGTGTCAGGTCCTGGTTCGCAAAAATTGAAAACTCGCACGTCTCGCCCCGTATTGTAACATCGAAATGTGCGTCGTGTTGATCCATATTGCTTTGACTGTTGAATATTGCCATCAGAGAGGAATGTACTTGAAATTTTCGAAACTCGAGAACGAAGGCTTCGACAAAAAGAATGTCATTCTTTCCTGTTCGACTCAGTTTTACACGCCGACGAATCGCGGGACAGTCTCGCGATATAAAACAGAGAAAGAAAAGAGAAATAAAAAAATTTTCGTTTCCTTCTTTCACTCTCTCTCTCTCTCTCTCTCTCTCTCTCACACACACACACACACACACTGTCGACAGATTCTCATTCTAGAGAAACAGTCAGAAGGTAAAGACAATCGTTTTATTGATATGTACATACAATAAATTTATTTACAAATAATACAATAAATTCTTGACGCCGTAAGTTTATTCGTTCTTGATGATATATCTTAACAAAATACTACGTTCTTACCGATTATTGTGCCGTGCTGATATTCGAAAACTTCCTTGGTCACGGGAATTTAATTGTAAATATAGGTAATATTCGGTTTTACCCTGCGCCGAAATATTCACCGAAAGAATGTTATCGATCATAGGCAATGCGATTTGAAAGTGAAATCGCGCAGTATTATCTCGTATCGGGTATTCCATTCTTTTCTATTTCTCTCGTTTTTCTTTTTTTTTTTTTTCTCATCCTCCCCATCCGTGTATCCTTTCGTTCCTCTTATACAAATATTACGTTAGCTACTATTAAAATTATAAAACATATTGGCCGTGTCTCGGCGTACGACGAACTCCCATCACCGTGATGCATCGCGGCCGGCCGTTCTTCTGTAACAGAAATTTCGTTTCGGCTCGCATGAAATACTTTCAGGCAGATATTTCCAAACGATGCTTCCGATCGGCCGACGAAAATCGGTGGGTATTATTCGAGGAGACATTCCAAAACGCAAAATATTAGAAAATATCAGTTTCGGCAGGAGATGGAGGACGTGTAAAATATTCTAAATTAATAAATAACAGAAACATAATATTAAAAAATATTAGCTTCGAGGAATTATTCCTTTGCAGGATTCGTTCATGATATTCGAGGAGACAGCAAACGTTAAACATTCTAAAGTAATAAGTAATATGAACTAGTTATTAAATATAAATATTAGAAAATATCAATTTCGGGAAATTATTCGTTCGCAATATTCGAGGAGATGGCACATGTAAAATATTCTAAATTAATAAATAATAGAAACGTAAAATATTAAAAAATATTAGCTTCGAGAAATTATTCCTTTGGAGGATTCGTTCGTGATAATCGAGGAGACAGCAAACGTTAAACATTCTAAAGTAATAAGTAATATAAACGTAAAGTATTAGAAAACACCAGTTTCGGGAAATTATACCTTTGCAGGATTCGTTTACAATATTCGAGAAGATGGCACATGTAAAATATTCTAAATTAATAAATAATTAGACACATAAAATATTAAAAAATATTAGCTTCGAGAAATTATTCCTTTGCAGGATTCGTTTGCAATATTCGAGAAGATGGCACATGTAAAATATTCTAAATTAATAAATAATATGAACGTAAAATATTAAAAATATTAGCTTCGAGAAATTATTCCTTCGCAAGATTCGTTCATGATATTCGAGGAGACAGTAAACGTTAAACATTCTAAAGTAATAAGTAATATGAACTAGTTATTAAATATAAATATTAGAAAATATCAATTTCGGGAAATTATTCGTTCGCAATATTCGAGGAGATGACACATGTAAAATATTCTAAATTAATAAATAATAGAAACGTAAAATATTAAAAAATATTAATTCGAGAAATTATTCCTTCGCAAGATTCGTTGGTGATATCCGGAGAGACAGCAAACGTTAAACATTCTAAAGTAATAAATAATATAAACGTGAAATGTTAAAAATATTAGCCTTGAGAAATCATCATCCGTTCGCGGAGATATTCATTTCAAATGGCATCGGTGACCGATTGAGATGAAATTCCTCTGGGTATTGCGAGACGAGATGATGGATTTGAAACGGTGATGTATGAAGATCGAGTCTTCGAAGCTTCAGGACTCAATCTTAAAGGCTCAGTCCCTGAAACTACTGTTACGCTCAAGTTTCTGGAACTTCAACTACTTAGCTCTTGAGTGAGTAATACGCCACTGTCATTGACATACGTGACATTTGACAGTCTACGATGCTATTTATAACTGTCATTGCATGCAATTCAGGCAGCTCGAGATTTTTGAATTTAAAGAGTCCGAGATCTTGCAGCTCAACGCTTGAACCATTCAGGGTCAATCTAGAATTTATCAAACCGCAGACTCAAAGTTTACTTTAACGGCATCGATTGGAAATATGAAATTTTAGTTCCGAAAACTGGCGAGTTCAAAGGATATACATACATATAGAGTAGAGATGCGAAATTGAATATGCATATGGAATTTTCGTATAAATGATATTTCATCGAATACAACAAAAGAAAAAAATATGTGGTGTTTTGCAGGATGCTTTAGCGTTTCAAAAAAAAATTTTTATCCGTGTCACTGTTCTGGCAGATACGAATTGTTTTCGTGGAATCAGTTTTACACCAAAATTGATTTTTCATGAAAAATTTAGATCAACTTCGTTACAACTTGTTTGTTGCACCTTCGTAAAAAATATCATGCTTTGAAACGAAACCAACGTTGTTTCTGTCATTCTTGTTTACGAAATTATAACAATTATATATGACTTAAAATATCGATCATTTTTCATCGTTTGCGTTTTGCTGTAGACTGCGAGTTTTTTTGTACAAATTCTTGGTTTTCCGTGAAAATGGTTTCCTGTGCTAGATATTATTAAAAAACACACTGGATCTTGGAAATTTTCTATAAAAATCCGCGGTGTAGACTTAAGAGTACTTATATGCATGTAGCGTGAAATTATGACAAATTAATATTGTCTTTTTTTGAAACAACCTGAGATTTTTCTGCTCGTCTGAAATTTTTAGTCTCTAAGGTATACACAGATTGAAACCGAAACAAAAAAAAAAGAAAAAACAAAAAAAAGTAAAAAAAAAAAAAAAAAAAAAGGAAAACAAAGCGAAACGACGTATCTGTTTCAGTTGTCAAGAAAAGTCAAGATTTTGTATTTCAGATCTGCTATCTTATTCCATGATATCCACCAAATTTTATCTCGATTTGTCTGATTTTATCTCGGTCTGTCGATGCCATTCGATTTAGGATATCCAAGTTCAATCTTCCTCTAAACTCCATTCGACGATTCTTTTCCTTTTTCTTTTACTGTTTCCTCGATATAACTCGTCGATTTCCCTTTTTTTTCGATAACACAAAAATTTAACGTACAGAATATCTCATCTGTGATCCCCAAATATCACTATGAGGACGAAAGAAATATTTCGCCTGAATGTTGAATTCAATCGTATTAAGTGACTAGTATCTTGCAGACGTTGTTTTCTCAAAATTTTCAAAGTCGATATCTTTTTCTTTTCAAATAACTAGTTATTTTTTGGAAAAAATACACTCAGACGTTTTCCGCTGTTCAAGACGACTTTCAGTTTTCCGAAAATGAAGATCATACCTGAGAGGAATAATTAAAAACGAGACTAATAATTAAAAAAAGGGTTGTACACAACGTGTCCGTTTGACGATTCTTTCCCTTTATCTTTTCCCTGCGACTGAGTGTCGTCGGCTGCGCGTTTTTCGACTGCGACTATGTTCCGTCGTGTCGCGATAACAGCGCAACGATTCGGACAATTAAGAGAAAGAACGGCAAACAAACGTTCACGAGCGGATCAGTCAGGGACACGATGACAGTGATAAATCACTGTCGTGCACGACGCGTCGCATCGATCTGCATTCGCGTCAGGTAAGGCTATGCAGGCCATTGTACCCAAGCAATTAACGTTTGAAGTTGATAAATAACATACCGGAAACTCGGCTTAACTTATTCCGAATTATCGTTAAAACCGCGTGTCCGCTTTCAGCCTATGATAAGACACACTCTAATAATTTACCAACTGCGAACGAGCTAAGGCAAACGCCAGTCCCTCGAAACAACGCTCCCTCAAGATTACCGCAAATTTCGAGTGTGTTTTTCGTTTGAAGATAGTATCGCGTCAGTAGTAATAGTGGTATCGTGTCAGAAGCGTGTCATTATTTAAATAATACAGTTATTTAATAAGGAAAATATGAATATCTATCTAGGTAAGTGTCTAATAGAAATGAATATCTAAATAAACGTGGTGTAAAAAAATAATTAAGAAAAGTATATGTTAACTTGTACACGTAAATGGTACATTTTATTTAACTCGATGTTATCTTCGACTAATCTTGCGTAAATTTGTTTGTATGTATATAAAGCTCTGAACTGCTTTATCGCTTGGACTCTCAAGTCAGGCAATTTTTCATTTCATTCCATTTCGTTTCAGCGTTTTGCGATTGCAGAAACAATTTGTCAAATCACTTCCGATTCTATTGTCAGGTGTGAATACAAAATTCCTCACGATATTTCACGCATGCAAAAGACGTATAATATTTCGGAATAAATATATGGTAGAGAATTTATCGTCGGAATAACTATCCCGTATCTAGTACAACGAGACTCTAGTTTACTGCATGCATTATTTAACGTCACATTCAAAAATTCCTCGGCTAAAATTCCTCGTGCTGACATTACTCGTTATTTCATTTCGGTCGATTAAATCAAACGAAAGATTATTTACGAGTTATATATTTGACTCGGAGGCAAGATAAAGTTATTTGCCCTGTGTTTATTATCGAAATAAAATAATCCATTATCTCAAATCTTTTATCTTCGCTTCAAATAAAAATTTGTTCAATCCCGCGCAGGAGAAGTCACTTCCTTGTCCAAATCAAATAAGTAATTTGCAAACAACTCTTTGCTTAAATAAATAACGAACGATCGTAGCACGAGCTTAGTTCAAGTCACTCAGTTTATGTAACAGAAAATGGAAATTTCCGAGGAAATAAATAAAGCAAAATTATTTTATACATGATGAAAGATCTACAATGCCTGTGTCAATATCTTACGTTTATACTTATTTTTCATGCATATAATGAAACATTCTTTCTATATCATTATGCATAATATATTTCATTATAATTATATAATTATATTAACAATATAATATATATCATATGGCGATACATAAAGATTCATAACGAAATAAATCGGAGAAAAATCGTTTACCTCTTCAAACAAACTGACGTACGATTATATCAAGATAACATCGAGCCAGATAAGATATCGTATCACATAAATGATCACTGTTCAAGTGTTCTAGTTCTAAGAACAAGATCATCAAGTTAGTTTAAAAATGAACCTCGTAATAAATTAGCGAGAACGATTCATTATTTTCTCTCGTCCGCGTTTCAAATAAAACTCGACACCGGATAGACTCCGCTTTAATAGCGTCAGCCACGTGACGTTTCACCTTTTCATTCGACGTCATTTCCTCGCCCCATTGAAAGGTGATAAACCGTGTCAGCTTCGCGCCTCGAGTCTACGCGACGTGGAAACGTCGCGCGAGATGCACGGCTTTCGATGAATTCGAACGCCCTGGCTACGGTCAGATCGATCGCGACAACGTCGATTCTAGGCCAAATCCGCCCGCGCGGCGTTCTTCGCCTCTTCGCCATTCCCCAAGAAACAACGGGAGAAATATTTCATGGGAGATCGATTAATATGACGGAAGGTCGAAACGAAGAAGGAAACAGCTTATTGAAATATTTCGTCGTTCACGTACCGTTGACAACGTGCACCTTGATGCTGCTGGGATTTGCGTTGCTCGGCTCGCAGGTATAGATCCCGGAGTCGCTCAGCACCGCTTTCTGGATCATTAAACGACTCGTCGTTTCGGGGCCCTTCTCCGTCACCAGGCTAATGCCGCCACGCGGCGAGTCGAAGTTAATTACCTGCACCGAGAGATAAAAACAACCCTTATTTTCCCCGCTCATTTTTTTCTCCCGTCCCAGCGAGAAAGACCGGATGATGATCTTTGAATCTGTTTGCGAGCGGCCTCTACTCGTTGAAACTTGCCAAATTTCGCAACAGTGTGTCTGTTCGTTCGCCACGTGAAAACGAGATGAATTCAGATACTAACTTCATTGTTATGAAGAATTAATCAAGAATATGAAGATGATTTATAATAAAGCCATATGGAGGTTAGTATCGTAGAATATTAGTGTTTTTAAAAATTAGACAATTACGAGAAGGGAAAATTAATTAAAAACGTTTGGTGGTGAGAAAACGCGATTGTATAGAAAACTACGTAACTGTGTGGAAATCTACGTAAGAATTAATTGCAATTAACAGCACAATTAGTGATAATTTTACTGTATAAAATTTCTATAATTTGTTGACTGTTTGTTTATTAAGTCTGGAAAGTCGAAATTTTCAGAAAAAAATCTATAAATTTATATTAATTTCGCCATTCCGTCTGGAACAATCTAATATCTTTCAACTGCTTATAGTGGTCTCCCTCATTAGCTGCTGAAGTGGTCAAAATAACCAATCCATAATTTTTACTCGATATTTTATAAATCTAAAACGTATTTTTAGGGATTTAAATGACTTTTCGTAACACCTTGTGTACTATAAAGTTTCCTCTTTTTTCATGTCTCTGAAATGGTCGACAGAGAGTGTTAAAGAGAACAACTCGATGTGTAATTATCTCGAAAAGTGACAGACTGAAAACCTTCTGAGACGAGCGAAACCGAAGGAATTCTTCTTCGAACGTTACTCTCCGGGATTAGGTCCGGATTATTTTCCTCCGTAGGAAAAAAAATTGCATTTATTCGTTGCGCGCAAAGCGTACGTGGATTCTGCAAAGAGACACTTGTAAACCGAGAATAAGATAAAGTCGCAGTGCATTCGTGTGCGGGCTGAATGTAAGCGCATTACGGGCGAAGTATCGTTTCTTTTTTCTTTTTCTTCTTCTCCTTCTTTTTTTTTTTTTTTTCTTTGTCCGGTTTAACGTGCGCGTTTGCAACGTTGGAAAAATGTTATTTAACGCGGAAAGGAACGGGCGCAGGTTTGTATTCGAGAGGAACCTACATAACTGAATTGTACGCATTTACTTTTCAATCAGCGGAATTTAATAGAATCCGCAACAACGGAATTCGTTTGAGGGGAAAGAAATACGAGAATGTTATGCAAAACCGTGTGTTAATGCGTAACGAAACGTAATGGCTGAACAATAATAACTGAAATTTGAAACATATTGACTGTCACTGGTGACCGACATTGCTGGTAAAATGGTGGCGAAGAGAAGAAAATTGAAAAGACAAATGACACAAGACCATTCATAATTTTTATAAAATTCCACATCTCAATAAACTGATTCTTTGCTAAAAACATGGTACGTTGCTTTCTTATACAAAATGACTGGTGCTTTAAAAAGTTATACGGTTGCATTTAAGAAAGTTTCAGCACTGAATATTTTCTAACTTTTCTAATAATATTCTGTTAAAAAACGGAGAAATGATTAAGCACCGGAATTACAAGTGTGTCAATATTTTTAATTCTCGAATTTTTATTCTCGATTTTTCATATTATTATTATATAATTCATTCTTGCAAATTGCTATCACGTACATTACTTTTGTATGTAATGGCCTATTTATGAAAGTAGGTTTTGCCAATATATCATTTGTTTTCATAAAGATATTGCAAAAAACTTGGCGTGCCAATACTTTTTTGACCCACTGTGTATTTTACATATATATAAAGATTTTGATGTTATTTGTTGAATCTCGATGTACGTATACTCGTGTGTGTGTAAGTAATTTCGCTTACGTCGATTTTGACCTATTTTTTAAAGTATCATGAAACTTAAACTCTTGTATCCTGTTGTTGAATTGCCTAAGGCACTTGCGTTTCGGAATATCTGAAATTTTGCTTCCGATATTATACTATCGTGTAGTTTGCTGTCGAGCAACGCTTGAATAATATCGAGCGAGAACTATCGAACCGTAAGGTAATGTTGGTTTTATACTAATCAAATATTCTTATTTTATTTCTGAATGACAAATATCACGTCTAACGAACTTTATATATTAGCATATTTTTTTCATCGATACATTAATAGTTACTTTATTACCCTTTATAATACTGTGCAATTTGAAAGTTCGAGATGTTTATATACCTGTGTACATGATTGAAAATTCTCTCTCAGAATTTTGAAAATTACTTCGCTGTTGTGTTCCATCAATATTGCAAAAATATCAAATTTTTTACTTTAACAATCACGAGTTCGTTTCTTTCGGAGAGGATATCATGTGTCTTCATGTGAGAAGAAAATTCTGAAGATTCAAACGTGTAGATATTAAAAACATTAAAATAAAGATATTAAAAAAATTTCTTTCCTAACGTAACAGTAATTTGCAATAGTAATTGTTACTATACTAACTGGAATGAATGTTTCTGAGTAATTAGTTATTTGTCACGGACTCTAATTACACAGAAAATTATTCGTCAATCAATACAAAGTGCTCATTTATGCACTGATGAGGTACATCTACGAAAATTAGTAACTTCAACACCAATACTACAACAAGTATCCATTTTCCGGTTCAGTTAAATATAATTCCGTTTCATGAATTTTAATTGAAATTTACGAATTTTTTTTCTTATCATTTGTTCTTTGAACATTCCTCTGTCCGCCACTTGAAATACATCGCTAATCACTGACACTGTAATCGTCACACTGACAATTCATTGAAAACAAAACAGTTTTAGCGTCAATCGTCGATCGAAACGTCGACAAACTGGTAAAAATTACCGGCTGAAAGTCTCGCGGCATACGAAGAATAGGAGAGATTACTCGCGTTTACTTGGCGCGCAAAGTATCCTGCACGATAGCTACGGATTACGATCGGTGGGCGGCTTGCATACTAATTAAAAAGGAACAATATTGGATCCCGAGACAGATATCCAGACTTTTTGGTTCGCAATCATTTCCTCAAAGCTGCCGTGGCAGCTTTCTCATATTCTCGTGGAAACTATCTCCCCTCCCGCTCCTCACCGTCCCGGTGGATTTTCGCGCACTACCATGTAATACCGTTGCCTCGCACGAAGACAAAAGGTTCGCTATTCTGCTTCAAGGTTCGCGAAAAGAATGGTAAAAAGACACAGGTATATATGCGAGCCGCGTGTTCCCTCGACGTATTCCCTTTGAGTCGGCACAAAAGAACTTCTGCTGAACACGTGAAATGAACCAGGCGAGTACCTTGGGCTCACCCGGAGATTCGGCATTAATCGCGTTTCATGTTATCACATGTTATTACTCGTTTGTTGGCAAATAAATTTGTGCGATGATGTGCAGTGGAGCTCTGTTCTTTATCTGGATCAAATTTTCGCCGATATCATCCGATTGAATGAACTTTTTCTAGTTGAGCTGAACCTGAACTTTTGTGTCTCACTGTCCTGTCGAACGAAAAGTCACTAGCAGAGGAAAAAAAATCACCTGACATTACAGCAGAACTTCGTTTATACGAATTCTACTTTATTTGGATCAAAATTTCGATTGATAGTTGATTGAACGAACTTTTTACTGGCCGAACTGATTCGTTTGAACCTAAACCTCCGTGATGATTGCGTGAACGAAAGATCGTTGGTAGATTTCTATTGTGTAAATTACTTCAATTACAGTAGAACTTCGTTACAACGAAATTTTAGTCAATCGGATTAAACTCTTGCCGAGTGGAAGTTAATTTTCACTTCAGGGCTCAAGAATTACGTGAAATAAGAAGATTGGACACTGAAAATTAAAATATACGGATAAACAGTTGTTCACTGTGTTCTTTCACTTCTTCAGTGATAAGTGATAACTGATAAACGATAATAGTTGGTAAATAAATTTATGAAAATAATAAAATGGATTCAATTTCGATAGAACAGAGATGTATATCGAGAGATATCTCTCGCAGAAATTCTCGCACGAACTCTATCTCGTTGTTCTAATGAATTTTACAATTAATTTCCATGTTCATTTCATTCTGACGAAGCAATGTCACACCGAAAGATATCTCTTGTTAAACTCTCTGCAACAACTCCATTGTTATTCTAATAAACTTTATAATTACATTACAGTGTGGATAATTATTGAACCATCCTTGTAATTATCCAGGGAATACTTACCTCGGTGTTGTGACTCCAAATCATCATGGGCGGTGGTTCCGGAGCGTACCTCACGACGCAAGTTAGATTAATGGTGCTACCCTTATTCACGAATAAATCGGGAGCTCCGACGATGATGGTAACCGGTTCTGAAACGAAATGTTTGGCTTCTGTAATTTTTATTCGATCTGAGACAGTTATTGGCAAGCACGATGCCAACCGTATGAATATAAATGTCGATATTTTCAGGTGAAATACTTCTAGAAGAAAGATATATATAAAGAATAGATACATGTAAATATATATAAAGAATAGATATATATAAAAATATATATAAAGATATATATATTTTTTGAAGCAATACTGAATGATGGCAAAAGTACAAGGAAACAATATTCTGAATTACGACTTAAAATATTATTTGAACGTTGCATGGTGTAACGTAACGACAATCAGATTGAACCTTCGTTCTTTAGAAACATATCTTTCTGCAATAAACGATGTAAAGCAAGATGATGATAACGTAACATGAGATACCCTGTATGTATGTACACTTTCGTTACAAAGACTCTCAGAATACTTCTGATTCTCAATATACTTCGATTACGAATTTTAAACCGTTTTTAAATTTTCCTTTAGCAAAATTATTGCAATATTTCTATTGTACAAGTTATTAAATTTAATTATTACAACGTAATAATTCGTTCATAATTTTTCTTGACTATAATCCCAACTGTAACTTGTGAGAACGTAACAATGTACATACGTACTTTTCGGAGTGAAAGGACTGACCCGTTTCGGTTTTTAATTCATGCTAAACAATTCAAAAAAATGTTAGAAGCTCGGGGAGTAACCGAGAAAAGAAAGGGACAGTATGACGAACGAATCAATGCCACAGCGATGGAATGTAACGTTATATCAATGTTCGATATTTTTATCGGTGTGCGAAACGTAGAAACGGAAGTGTTAGGCAACGTTTATTCAGGTCAAGTCAGTGTGATAAGATCCTCTCATTTAATAGCACGTCCCGGTTAGGATATCAGAGCAGTCATTAACGGTGTACCTGCGAGGATATACGAGCTCGCGGACGGCCTGGTTTCACCTGCTTTGTATGCCCGCATAAAATCTTTGCATGGATTTCGTACGTATCCTCGATTAACCCCTTCCGCACCGCCGCCATACATCCCCGCGTCCATCTTGAACTGAATTTCAAACACATTGATCATAGATGCAAGCCGGCTTGCGTTTCGTTCACATTTCCTTTCTCTCTCTTTTAGCAACCGTGTCGTTTCAATCTTCCGGGCGAAAGCAATCTCCGATCTTTTCAAGTATCGTCCCCTCACTCCTTTAGGCCGGGTTGTGTTTTGAAAAATTTCTCAAGCATCAGGCAACCGCGTAATTTCCAAGAAGACGCGTAACTGTTATCTCCCGGCGCTCGAGTTACAGCGAACAGCATGAATCCCCCCTCTTGTTACCAGACCGCAAATTTTTGCGCAATTTTTTTTGTATCTTTTCTTTTTTTTTTTTTTTTTCACAATAAAGAATCTGAAATATTACATTATAAAATATCCATACAATTTAAAAATTTCATTATTTGTTAC